ATTTCATTCATTTATTTACCTTGGTACACTAAGCAATCAGGACTGTCGTTTGAATTTTTGGATGAGGAGCAGAAATATTAAAAAAAAAGGGAGCTATTTTTAAAAAAAAGTGGAGTCAATTTCTATATTTTATAGAAAAACAATTTAATAAACAAAATTAGAAAAACAAAACAAAAATTTTAAATAAAACTTATGTGTCTGAAAAATGTCACAATAAAACTTAAAATAAAATTTTTTACATGAAACTTCATATAAGCGTTGCCATATTTTTTAAGGTTTGGGTAAATATTAAAAATATCTCAAAAGAATTTTTTGACGTTTTTTTTTTTGATGATATGTTGACTGTCTTATTCATTTCCTTGTAAGTAGTTCAAATAAAAAAAAATATGTAGATAACAACTTGGTTCCCAAGTTTTCGCATCAATATTTTCTAATAATTCTTTTGAATTTAAAATGCTGCTTACCATTTCAACTTACAAGGAATTTCTTAATTAAACTAACAGAAAATACCCTCTCAGCTGCCGCACTACAATTGATAAACTGAGAAGGCTTTGAATAAATTTTTCATGTTTTCAACAACAAACTCGATCGACTTCAATTAAAATGTCAACAAATCAATATTATTTAATTTATTAATTTCATCTTGGTAGGTTTGGTTATTTTACACTTGAACTGACTAATTGATTAACTTGACTTCAAAAATATAGGTGGCGGCTTTTGAATTAGCAGAAAAAGGTATATGTACATAACTTCGTTAGACAAGGCTTTGTCAACACATTTTTAAATATTGCAAAAAAAAATTTTTATTTAGAAAATATATTTTTCAACTGAAATTTTTTTTCAATAATAATATTATCAATATTGTTTTTTGGTTTGAGGAAAAAACAAAAACGGAGCCAAAATGCAAAAGGAGTAGCCGGGAACAAAATTTTCAAATTGGAGCCAAACGACAACCCTGTCCTATACTCCTATACACAATATGTATATAGCAAAAATATATTATATTTAAGAGTGGAAAAAAAATTTGTCACAAAAATGTAGAGAGAGAGAGAGAGAGCGACAGAGTTGCCATATTATTTGTAATTTGAATTTTTGTTAAATCAAGTGGATACTAGATTGCCGATTTGTGCCAAAAATTTTATATTTTTTGAATGTTTGGTTTTTCAAAGAAGTTGAGCAAAAAAAAAATAATTTAACATAATAATTAACCAAATACACACATTAAAACATTAAAGTGGAACACTCAGAAATTTAAACCAAATCCAAATTTTTCGCTATGTATTATAATATAATTAATAATTGAAATGCTAAAATATTTTTTCTAAAGACACAGTCAACGAATTAGAAATACTAAAGGATTACAATCGTATCTTGTAAAAAAAACACAGTGAAGCCAAAAACTTCAGGTTAAGTCTCTTTCTTTGCTCCTAACATTGTCAAACTGAAATTAACATTAAATGCCAAATGTTGCTGTTTTTTTTCTTAGAAAATTATACGCTGCTATAGTGCTATATAAAAATTAAACAAAGAAGATTTTGTTTTTTTATTTCTAAAATTAGTGCAGTTTGTAAATAAAAAATCTTAAAATATTTAATAGCAAGTGTTATTTTATAAAAACTTATAAAAAAATTATAACAAGTTTGAAATTGTTATTCCCATTTGCAAAAATAAATAGTTTTTAACCACCATATACATGTGAATATTATTTATATCAATTATTAAAAGAAATATTAATTCAATAGTGCTTTGAATAATTTCTAATTTTATTAAGTTTTTAATTTTGCAAAGAAAACATATGTTTTTGTTGTGTTTTAAATTAAATTACTTCGGATGCCCTAATTTTGAACACCAGGACCGGGTTTTTTTTAAGCAAAATGAGTTTTTGTTTGATAAAATGTAGCATATTAAATAATTTTTTTGGACAGCTTTCGTAGAAATGATGAAATGAGATATATTTCCCTTTATAGAGTGATGATTTAGTCACCAAAAAATACATGAAGACGTCCCCAAATAGCATTGATTTCAGTAAGTAAAATAAAATATTAAAGTGACTTATTTATATTCTAAAATTTTGTTTTAGAATTTATAATATTTTGTTTTAGAATGAATTAGTATGTGAAGCTCAATTGAAATTAATAAGGAAGAATACGGCATAAGGAATATGCAAGAATACATAAAATTTATATGTATTTATATTTATTGTTATTAATATTGTTTAGAATTTGCAGTAAAATTGTTAAGTTTTTCCACAGATATCTAAAATGAAAAAATATCAGTAAGATAAGTTCAAATTTTTTAACAAAATAATTTCATTTTCGAGGGTCATAAAATATTGTGATATTAAATTACAATTTATAAAATAAATTTATTCAAAGAGGAAAAAAATTTTTAACTTATGCTCCTTACAAATTACACATATTTTATAGTAGAGGCCAGAGTAGAAAATAAAATAAATACGCTCCTATTACGACTTTGACAATAGTCAGAGCAAAGAAAGACACAACTAGGAAAAATTTGGCTTCACTGTTTTTTCAAGATGCTCCTTCCTTTAGTATTTCTAATTCCTTGGACACAGTAACAAAACTTCATACATACATATATATAAGATATTAATGTTTTACATTAATTTGAAAAAAAAATTATAAAAAAAAAAAAGAAAAAAATTGTGATACGATCAACAAATGACCGACCGCGATTTATATTGCTTTGTTTAGCAAAAGGGTTAAAGAAGAATATGAAAATGCGTTTTAAGCATTTATTTACAATTTAAGGAAAGTAGTAAACCTTTAGTTAACATTCCTCGAAATGTAATTTTGACTCTTACTAGAGTTTCGCTTTGAGTTTCTTACCACTCGAATCCCTGAAAAGTTCGCCAATTAGTTTCGATAAAAACAAGGAGTCAAATATTAAATTTTAAGAAATGCCATCCATTAGCTTCGTAGATATAGAAAAATAAGTAAAATTCGCCCGCAGTTAGGTTGCCGAGTCCTGATTTAACTACAAGAAACTTATAGGTTCATTGCTTTTAATTATTAAATGAAAAAGAGCCCCAAAAATGAAAAAGAGCCCCGCAAAATAAAAATTATGTGACTTATAAACTTTTGGAGGATTGACATACTCCAAAAGTTGATCCATCCGTGGCATAATGGAAATAAACTTATATGTAAAATTTAATAAAAATCGATTCAAAAGAACTTGAAATTCCGAGACATTTTTCTAAAAATGCTCTATTTACATTTCCCTAAAATGAGAAGTGCGTTCCCACTGAAAACTCGATGTGCAAAATTTGGAACCACCATATGTATTGTTTCCCTTATTTAAGGTATATACAATAAAATTTTAAGATATCAATTTAAAAAAGAAAATTTAATTTTAAAAGTATCCGAAGTACAATAACCAAAAAAAAGATATTTTTCAATTCATGTGGCAACATTTTATAATATTTTAAGTGTTTTGATTTTCTATTTCGTTTTTTTTTATTTTCTCAAAAGTTTTTGTAATACTCATTTTTTCTATACTCTGTATTAGACATGTTGCTATGATTGGCTAATGTTATACTACTCGTAAAATGTATTGTAATGTACACTGTTAATTTTCCCTTATATTTAAAATGTTATCTCTTTAAATTATGTACCGAAAATACATAATTTTTTTTGATATTTTTTGGATTTTTTTTTATTCTGACAGAAAGAAACGACAGAGAGATAAAAGGAAAAATACTAAATTAACCTTAGCAACAATTTAATTAGGATGATAATAATGATGATGATGATTATGATACTATAAGAATTTGTATATTTGCATGTAAATATTAGGTATGAATGTGTATATTTAGGTAAATTTGACGTCGGCATATTAACATGATTATATTCAGGTAGATTACGTTTTTTTTATAGTTAACGTGTATTATTTATAATTAAATAATTGTATTTAATATGTTCGTTGATAATTATACATTATACTTGCGTATGTATTAATATATCGCCCGTTATCTGCAACAGTGACATAATTAAAAAAAAATACGATTTCTGAGTTATTTTTACAGAAATAGAGGCAACTAAACCATTTTTTTTTGTACAAAAACACCGTTTTTCTAGCTTAAATTTCGAACGGCCTTGTTTCTTAATATAAATGAAAATATTTTGTTTTAAAATATTCTCGGAGATTGCTGATGACTTGGAGCGGAGTGGATCTAAGATCTTTTTCGTTCGGCTGTTCCCTTCTGAGAGACAATTAATGGATGTCATCGTGTGAAACTATTTATTGCCAAGTTATTTTTATTTAAGAAAGTTCTCTAGAGAGTTGCTGAGGATGCATCAAAATCGATTCAGGGGCATTGTGCTGTGAAATATCACTTGCATAAATTGGGCAAAACTCCTGTTTATGTAGATTCTGTTCGGAAAATGAGAAGATATGCAGGAATATGGAAGGCTACAATAAGTCAAATCTGGTCGGTAGAGAAGAATTCTTTTACTTATATCTCTTTTCAGTAAAGTGAAATTTATGGAGATGTGAGAAAATATAGGGTGTTGAGATCTATTTTAAAGCCATTATGAAAAATTTTCGTTCTCCCAATGTCAACTTTTTGAAGTACATTATAATTTTAAATATGTAAAGTAATTGAATGTGTTCAACAATAACAAAAAGAATATTTTTTATCTTTATATTTTTTTAATTAATCATATGATCGTATTTTGTAAAAATAAAACCTGACTACGTATATACTGAAAATTTAAGTGCTTATCTGCACATACAAAAATATTTTTTTTTACTATATACAAAAATCAATTCAGCTGTTATTCTCAAATAATCTTAAATTTAAGGAGAAATAAAATACATAGTGTATTTATGTAATTATAAATAGTGCGTTTTAATTCGTGATTATTGAAATCAACTCAAGAAATCATATCCATGAACATTTCAGTTTACATATTCATACATATATATAAATTTAATATAATTTTAAATAAAAAATATGAAAATAAATTAAATACACTTACCCACTGTTTCTGTTTGCGGTGGCGCGACAATTTCAATTGGTTTACTTTAAAAAAAAATATATATATGTTTTATTTAAATATATATTTTTATGATCTTTGAAATTTGAAAATTTATCACATTCTTATTAAAAAATGCAAAAAACCCCAGTGTCGAATGTAATATCAATTTGATTTATTCATTTTTAATGAGAAAATTGACTTGTTAAATAAAAATTCTCACATGAAAATGACATACATATATGTGAGGCGCACTTATTTCTTTTGCCATCTAATAAATAAAAAATATAATATACATAAGATCAAGTCGCTTAAGATTGCCGTTGTCAAAATTATTTTTTTATTGAAAATTATCGTGGTCGTGGATTTCGCTATATTTTATTTGACAAATGAAAAGAAAATAAGTGATTGTCGTATGCTAATTATAAAATGTTATTTTTGTGTGAGACGGATTTTTTCGTATTGCGTATCTCTCGTTTTTTTTTTAAATATTTACAAAATTTAATTCTCTTTGTTTTTTGAAGTTGATGGTTCAGTTGATATTTTGAGAAATAGAGAGAAAACCCAAGACTAATCTTAGTAGAAAAATTATATATTCAAGTAAAAAAAGGTGAAAATTCTAATTTGAAATTGCGTATAAAAAACAAAAGAGAAAAGGATACAATATTAAAAAGTAAAAGTAATATTAAATTAGAATAACATTGTTCCTTTATAGGAATTGGTCATATTTATACCAACGTTTCTTATTGTAAGAAAATTAAGATTCGTTTTAAAAATTTTCTCATTAAAAATTATTAAAAATCAATAATCTGATTTTCAAGTAACTACATATTCCAATGCAAATGAAAAATTTTCAATTTTCCAACCAAAGAAGAAAAATAATAATAAATGCTTAATGATTTGAATAAATAAATATAATTAAATTAATAACAATTCAAATATTTACTTTTTTCTTTTCTGCGGCTTATGTTGATGTATTTCGACTGATGGTGCATTCGTTTTTGCAGATACTATTGGAGTTTCAATCAACATTTCAGTCATTTTTTGAGGTATATCTTATTAGTAAAACAAAATGAAAACAAAAAACAAAATTAAATAATAGTCCAATAAAACTACAACAAAATTTACAATTAAAAAAAACATTTAATAAAGAATAAAAATATTAGGTATGTGGATAAAATTTCGATTGTTCGCAATAGATGCCCTTAATAAAGAGTTTTACTTCTTTAAAAGTACAAATAATGAACAAGCATTTCAACAGACAGATAGACAAACATACCCTATGTTTTTATTTATTATTTAATGGTTTCTTTTCTTAATTTATTTATATATATATATATATATATATATATATTCTTACTCGCATAATATATATTTATATATATTCTTACCCGTATAAGTAATTCCTTGCATACTTTTCGTTTGTTCAACAAATTCTGAAGGAATTGAAGTATTTTCTAATACATCAACTACATTATTTACAATACCACTATTTGCTAATTGGTTTTCCTGATATTCTAGTTCATTACTAGTAGCATTTTGAGTCTATACATAGAAAAATTTATAAATTTAAAAAAAAAAATCAAAAATTATGATATAAAATTGATATTGGCTTCGTCTACTTTTCACAAAAAAAAATTTAATTAATATTACTTTATACCTTAGGAATTTTAAAATCTTCCAATACATCTTTATTTGTAAGAGGATCTATTATTGGTATTGCATGTGTTCTTTCTCTTCTTTTTGTTGAACTATGACCGACGATACCGGAACCAGCCGGTTGCTGTCCTGGACCAGTAACAACACCACCAACAATTGCTGTATTTGTACCGGCAACTTGAACGCTAGCAACTTGTGCTGATGCACCTTGATTTGCAGTAGCCTGTGTTATACTTGTTAATAATTGACTTTGTGATGGTGCACCAGTTGGACCAGTTAATATTTGACCATTTGATGTTTGTACAATACTACCGCTTGGTACAACACGATGTTGTCCAGCAGCTGTTGCAGCTGGTATACCACTTGGTACACCAGATGTTGGTAATATTGCTGTTTGTTGGACACTTGGAAAGTAAATTTGATGTTGACCACTATATGCATGATTTTGTAATTGAAATTGTGAAAATGTTGGATACGATGGAAATTGTACAGTACGTTGTTGTGTATATGGTTGCGGTTGATGAAATGGCATCATAAGTGGTTGTATTTGTTGTGGATATAGTTGTTGTGTCATTAACGTTGAATTATGTCTTGGATGATTACGTTGAACTGTTGCTGGTTGTGTACTTCTAAATATTTGTGGCTGTTGTGGTCGTACATTACCAGATGTATTTGAATTCCCTGAAGGCACAAACTAAATAAGATAAAATTGAGAAAAAAAAAGAAAACAAGGTAATTAATTTACTATATATAATAATTTTTTTTGTACCTGTTGTGACGGTTGCATTTTGCTTAAATCTTGTTTTTGAGGCGGTGTAGATGATGTTGTTGATTGCATACCGCGTATTAAAGTTGGTGGACCTTGATGGGGTGGCCCACTTTGGGGAGCTGAATAACCAGCTGATGACGCTGCTACATAACCATCTGATCCTAATACAATTGATATTAAAAAAAAGGTGGTTGAAATTTCAATTTGATATAATAAACAACAAGAAAAAACTTATGAATTGCATTGTTTTCAATTATTTACAAAACTACAAAAGAACTTAGCTAGGGTTAGATTTTCAAACTTTTTCCAGCACATAATTGTACAATTTTTAACCAGCAGAGCTTCGTCACAACCCTTTTAACAATAACCAACTATAAGCAATATGATAACAAGTATTTGATTAAATTTAATTATAGAACTTCTTGGAACATATTTCACGATCATTACAATCTCCCAAAAAGTTCGGAAATTTTAAAAGTCAAAAGTTTTTTTTTAATCCTTCTTATGTGTTCCAGAATCCTTTTTTTTGTAGAAAACTTTAAAAGATCTGTTTCGGAATCTGAGGTTTAGTCGTTTCTGATTTCCAAAAACTTCAATAAATAAAAATGGAAAGTTGGGCCAAGATGTTTGAAGAGATACTTCTCAACAACGTTGCTTGTCAGATAACACTATTAACTAAAATTTGAAAAGCAAATTGATTTGTACCTAAGACTTTAACAAAAATGGTTCAAATTATATAAGGCTTGTGTAACTTATAAAATCACTTCCATTTTTAAATAATCAGTTAATCTTGGGTAATTATTATTTTATTTTCATCGTTTAAGTGCATTAATTTTCTAGCACATTTCTCTCAATTTTTTCGCTTTCCTGACTAAGACTAAACCAAAAAAACAAAATCTTTTCAAAATTTTGAATTGAAAAATAAGTTGTTTTCACAGAGTGCGCATACGTCTAATGTCAAATAAAATTTGACTGTTAGTTGCTTTTATTTTCGCAGTTAAACGGGTTCGGTTAAGAGCTCTACTCGGATAAGTACTAACAAGAAGTCGATTTTTTTGAGACGCACTTCAGCGGGTTTTACTGTACTCTGAATATACATTGGTTATAATTTTAAATTACGATCACCGACATCAATTAAATTTTTATTCTTATTATTCTCACTCTAATTATTCTTATTATTATAATTACTATTATAATAATAATAATTCTCATTATTAATAATATTATTGTTATTATTATTTTTATCTTTACTATTGTATATTGTTTATTACGTATTATTTATCACTTATCATTTATCATTTATCATTTATCATTTATCATTTATCATTTATCATTTATCATTCATCATTTATCATTTATCATTTATCATTTATCATTTATCATTTATCATTTATCATTTATCATTTATCATTTATCATTTATCATTTATCATTTATCATTTATCATTTATCATTTATCATTTATCATTTATCATTTATCATTTATCATTTATCATTTATCATTTATCATTTATCATTTATCATTTATCATTTATCATTTATCATTTATCATTTATCATTTATCATTTATCATTTATCATTTATCATTTATCATTTATCATTTATCATTTATCATTTATCATTTATCATTTATCATTTATCATTTATCATTTATCATTTATCATTTATCATTTATCATTTATCATTTATCATTTATCATTTATCATTTATCATTTATCATTTATCATTTATCATTTATCATTTATCATTTATCATTTATCATTTATCATTTATCATTTATCATTTATCATTTATCATTTATCATTTATCATTTATCATTTATCATTTATCATTTATCATTTATCATTTATCATTTATCATTTATCATTTATCATTTATCATTTATCATTTATCATTTATCATTTATCATTTATCATTTATCATTTATCATTTATCATTTATCATTTATCATTTATCATTTATCATTTATCATTTATCATTTATCATTTATCATTTATCATTTATCATTTATCATTTATCATTTATCATTTATCATTTATCATTTATCATTTATCATTTATCATTTATCATTTATCATTTATCATTTATCATTTATCATTTATCATTTATCATTTATCATTTATCATTTATCATTTATCATTTATCATTTATCATTTATCATTTATCATTTATCATTTATCATTTATCATTTATCATTTATCATTTATCATTTATCATTTATCATTTATCATTTATCATTTATCATTTATCATTTATCATTTATCATTTATCATTTATCATTTATCATTTATCATTTATCATTTATCATTTATCATTTATCATTTATCATTTATCATTTATCATTTATCATTTATCATTTATCATTTATCATTTATCATTTATCATTTATCATTTATCATTTATCATTTATCATTTATCATTTATCATTTATCATTTATCATTTATCATTTATCATTTATCATTTATCATTTATCATTTATCATTTATCATTTATCATTTATCATTTATCATTTATCATTTATCATTTATCATTTATCATTTATCATTTATCATTTATCATTTATCATTTATCATTTATCATTTATCATTTATCATTTATCATTTATCATTTATCATTTATCATTTATCATTTATCATTTATCATTTATCATTTATCATTTATCATTTATCATTTATCATTTATCATTTATCATTTATCATTTATCATTTATCATTTATCATTTATCATTTATCATTTATCATTTATCATTTATCATTTATCATTTATCATTTATCATTTATCATTTATCATTTATCATTTATCATTTATCATTTATCATTTATCATTTATCATTTATCATTTATCATTTATCATTTATCATTTATCATTTATCATTTATCATTTATCATTTATCATTTATCATTTATCATTTATCATTTATCATTTATCATTTATCATTTATCATTTATCATTTATCATTTATCATTTATCATTTATCATTTATCATTTATCATTTATCATTTATCATTTATCATTTATCATTTATCATTTATCATTTATCATTTATCATTTATCATTTATCATTTATCATTTATCATTTATCATTTATCATTTATCTTTTATCATTTGTAATTTTTTGTTATTTTATTAATTGTTATTCATTAGCTTTTGTTATTATTTATTATTATTTAAAATACTATTTATTATTTCTTATTTATTATTAGTTATTTATTATGTATTATTTATTGTTTATTATTTATTTATATTGTTTTTCTTATTATGCTTTTGATTATTATTATTATTTTTCCAAATGTTATTTTAGACTTTATTATTTTTCCAAATCCACATTTAAAATTAGCTTTTGGAGTTGTATGGCAGGTACTGTCAAGCAATTCCACCCAAACTTCAGTAATATATCTGACCTAAAATTGGACACACGACTGCCAAGTTGTATGAATCTGACTTTGTTATTTTCGCGAATATAATAAATTTGCTTTTGCAATTGTTTGAAGTTGTAGGGTTCGTTCTTGGCACAAAATAAACAACTTATGAAAGTTTGGTATCGATTGCATTTGTCGTTTTTGAATTATCGTGCGATCGGACGGACGGACGGAATTTTACGCTGAGAAAGATTATATATATGTCCATACCGCAGATGACTCCTTCAAGTAGTCACAAACTTAATACCAAAGTTAATATACCCCTAATGAAGTGCAGAGTATAAAAAAGCAACGAGAAATAAAATAGATACAAGAAATAGAAAAGAAGAACCCGAAACTAACTTTTCCAAAATGTGGAAATAAAATTGACCAATTTTTTAAAATCTACCAATTTCTTTTTGGAAATAAAGTCGATTCTACCTTATTTCATTATTTTCTTTTTGATTTTGAAAAAATTTAAGTAAAAATTGGACGTAATTTCGACATTTTTGGAAAAAAAATTTAGTACAAATTTATTTCTAGTATATTGACAGAAATGATTTCGTTATTACCAATTTTCATTTCTTCTAAATTTTTACAGAAATCATAAAATATTTGGCTCTCTATTTAAGAACTATATTATGTAAAATATGAATACTGTTTGGTGTTCCATAATTAAAAATTCGATCCCGCATGCTATATGTAAAATGAATTAAGAAAACTTAATGTTTAAATTATGTTGAAGACATTTTACATGAAAAAAAAAATTTCAATAGCCAAAACAATTTTTTTCAATGTTCTTAATTTATAAATGAAGTAACAAACATATTAATAGTTCTCAACCTTCTTAAAAAACCGATTTTTTTGACGATTTTTGTCTTATTGGCGATAAACAAGTTTTTTATTAAGATGTTCTTCAAACTTTTACTCATTATCAACCATAACGTCAAGATATTTTATACGAGGTACCACTTTAACTTGTTCTCTATTTATATTGACCTTAATATCTGAGGACGAATTAATAATCGTAGCTTTAGTTTTTAGCAGTTTTCCAAAAAATTTTTGAAAAAAAAAGGCATTGGTTTGCTTCTGTTATCGCGGCATACTATAATTAAATTTTAAAAATACTCGTTCAAATTTACCGTTATCTAAAATCCGTTTTTGCAAATGTTTTTATGTTGTTTTTCTTCTATACCCCCGGTTGTAGGAGCTCTAGCTGTATTTTAACAGCTGTTAGACACTAACAAATAGTTTATTTCGTTAGGAGAAAATTTTTTTCCGCCTCCAAGTTATCGCCTTTAGATTTGTAAAATTTGAATATTTGGCACCTTATATTTGCGAAACCGCAAGCTTTTTAAAATTTCTATAAACGCAAGAAGCTAACAGTAAATTCCATAACATTAAAAAGTATAATTATTTTTCTTAACTCACGCAATTAACCCTTAAAATCGAGCATTATGTTAACCTTTCTTTATATTAATTTTTGCTTTATTTCAAAGACTGCATAAATCGTTCATCCTAAATATATGCAAATTGTTTCGTTTATGAATGAAAATAATTTTAATAGTCTTTAGATACATAGACTCCATTTAAAAGCAGTATTTTCACTTGTTGAAGGGAAAAGTGCTACAATACAAACCATTGTTTTGACCCAACTTTATTAACTTATTAACTTATTATTTCATATTTAGCCATACATAAATGTTCTGCGAGTCTCGATTAAGTTCGACAATTAATTTTGATAGATTTTTTCTATATCAATA